TCAGAAATTGCGTTTTAAATACAATTTTATCGATTTCTAGAGTATTGCATAAATACACAAAACAATGACATAGTAGTTTTTTCTCTAATGTTATTTGAATTTTAACATTTTTGACGTGACAACGTCTAGTAAATCGATGAACACCGGCTGCACGTACGAAAAAGGATGACTCATTGTAACGTTACGCTCATTGTAACGTTACGATCGGAGCGGAAGGGCTGCACGAGTGAGCAAAAGACCCGATCGGCTTGAATTTTCGGCTTGCGCTGCATCTATATAAAAGTATGCAATAATTTCATCAGTGTTTTGTTATAACGTTTTTTTTTTAATTCTTTTTTTAAATTTAGGGACTTAGGTTATTTTAAACATGTCAGTCCCATTGTACCTAATAACTAAATAACAAACTACAATTTCTTAAATTATTTAAACAAAAAATTAACTAAGTTATATACAATTTGAGCAGCATCAGATAATGGTTCAGACAAAATGCTTTGATATTCACCTAGGTTACAAATTTTAATACCGGTTTTGGCAACTAATAGTTTCCTTTCATGATGATTTTGGAACATTCCGCGAGCAAGTGTTGTACATCTTCTATTGTTTTGCATGTATCGCAATTTGGAGAATGTTTCTTTTTCATCATGAAAGCAAACTTGTTACACGGAATGTGTCCGGAACGAAGTTGCATTTCTAATGCAATATATTTTCTATTCAACAGACATTGATTAAACCAAGGCACTTTCGGAGGCTGACTCTGGATGGTTTTGTACCAAATCCCTTTTTCTTGCGATCTTTTATCAAAATATTCTTTCCAAATTGTATAACATTTCTCTTTATATTTAATTAAAATTTCTGAATAATCAGGATAAATATTATATTCTCTTCCTTGGGTGATTGCCAATTTCGCCAGCTCATCAGCCTCCTCATTGCCCTGTAAACCGATGTGAGACGGTACCCACTGCAATACTAACTCCCGGTTTTTACATTGAAGTTTCAATATTTCATTTAATATCGAATATGCTATCGATACACCTCTGAGACCAGAGACGCATCGAGCAATATGTTCAAGAGCACTCTTGCTATCAGTTAGAATGACTGTTTTTTGAAAATTTGTTGTACCAGCATGTAATAGGGCATCATTAATAGCAATTAATTCAGCTGACATTATCGTAAAATTATTAGGAATTTTAATTTTACTTTTATTACCCAGCAATGAGTCAAAATAAGCGGCACCTACACCATATTTGTCTTTGGATCCATCACAGAAAATTTTATGCCATCCGAAATAATTAACATTTAATTCATTTATTACATTCGACTTTAAAGTATTTATCTCCTGACATCTTTTAGCACCCTTTATACAATTTAAGTCCTATTTAATTACGTTTTTAACATTTATACTTGATACCTCAGTATTTAAAGAGAACATATCTAATGGATCCGAAGAATACACATTATTATTATTATCTTGTTCTAATGTAATTGCTAGAAGTGGTTTCATTTTATTTTGCCAGTACCTGTCTTGACAGAATAAGCTGAGTTCTGTTAATAGTTTAATAGTAGCATTATTAGTTCTAGACTTACCTTTCAGACAATATTTATATGCTAAAAATTTTCTTCTAATATAAGTATAGAGGCGTTATATTTAATTCACTTTCCATATCGTGTATTGGTGTACTTTTGATAAAACCTCCTATAATACGCAGTGCTTGATTTTGGATTTTATCTAATGTACAAATGTTTGTATTAGCACTCATATCATATAAAAAACAGCCGAAATCAATTCTGCTTCTTATAAGTGATAAGTATAACCTACGTAAATGCTGCGGATGGATACCCCAACCATGCCCTGTTAATACTTTTAATATATTTACAAATTTTAATATCTTTTGGCTAATTTCATTAATGTGTTTAGACCCTCTTAATGACCGGTCCAACCAAATACCTAAATATCGTATGTTGTCTGTCTCAACAATTCTCTTTCTATATAGTTCTAATTTAATTTCCTCACGTCTAAAACCTCTACTAAAAATCATAAGCTTAGTCTTGGCGATAGAAATATCTAAGCCAATTTTATTAAGCGAAGTAATTATAAAGTTTAAAGCATTCTGAATGTTATACTCACAGTCCTTAAGATTTTTTGAACTCGAATAGATTACAAAATCATCTGCATATTGAGCGATAGATACATTTTGTATTTGTCTACATATATTATGTGTAATAATGTTAAATAACAAGGGAGATAGAGGATCACCCTGCGCCAAACCCTTACTGGCCTATCTTTTCAATTCCCCTTCATGTGAACCCCTTTCTATAACAAGATATCTTTCGGTTAAAAAAGACCAAATATATTTACAAAATTTTGAACCAACCAGAAGTCTGTCAAGAACATTAACTAATTTATCAATTGGGACATTATTATAAGCGTTCTCTATGTCAATAAAGCAGGCGACAGTAGGAATATTTTTTGAAAAACCTAGCTGAATATGTGTTACTAAGCATACTAAACAATCCAAGCACGATTGAGATCTGCGAAACCCACTGGTGAAAGGGGATAATATCTTGTTGTGCTCTATGTACCATTCTAATCTTTTCGTTATAAGAGCATGAAATATCTTACAAATACAGGACATTAGCGATATAGGCCTTAATTTATCCTTATTGCCTAGCTTAGGTATAGTAATAATTTTAATATTTCGCCATTGCATGGGTATGTATCCCGTTGATAAGATTATGTTAAATAAATATAATAAATACTGTTTGGTAACATCAGGTAAATTGTAAATCATAGAATAAGAAATATCATCGAATCCGGGGGATGTATCTTTCTTCTTTAAGCAATTTCCAAACTCCTGAATAGTGAATTTAACTTCCAATTGTTCATTTACTGATAAAAATTCAGGCATTCTAGGCAGTACTGAAACCGGAGCAAGATTATTTAATAGATCTTTCAGCTTTTCTTCTGTAGCATTTGTTAGACTTAAGTCCCTTTACCCAATGCATTTTATTCCATAAAACAGATGTATTTGTAGTTTCATCAAAACTATTGCAGAATTTTTTCCAATTATTAAATTTATCTTCTCTAATCATTTTTCGGCTTTCTGCCACTTTTTCTTGTAACTTAGTAAGGTTTAAAGGTGTTGGATTTCTTCTAAAAATTTTTAAGGCTAGCCTGCGTTGCGCAACTATTTTTGATAAAGATGGGTTCCAATACACTTTTGGTTTAAAATGTTTTTCTGGGTCAATACTGATTTTAGTTATAGGAATATGTTCATTTGCTGCTTTATTAATCTCTTTTTCAAAGTGGTTATACATACTTTGTACATCATCACCTGTACATACGGGGTTTTAAAATGAAGTTTCAAGATCTCTTTTATAAGAGGACCAATCAGCTGATGAGAATTTTCTTTTTCGAACATAACGTAGGACGTCTTTGAATATAATGTAATATTAAATAATCAAATGATCACTACCAAGATTTTCGTTAGTTATATGCCAATTAAAGTATATAGCAATATCGGAAGACACAAATGTTATATCAGGTGAAGATTTTTGAAGACAACCATTTACAAGTTTAATTCTGGTAGCTTCTCCGTTATTTGTTGATATGAAACCGAAATCCAAGGAACTGTCTAATAATTGTGCCCCTCTGGTGTCAATTATATTAGACCAGTTGGTGTGATGTGCATTAAAATCTCCTCCAATAACACATTTGCGTGGGCAAAGGGCGAATATGTTATTCCAGTCAGTTGAAGATGTTCTAACAGAAGATGGGCAGTAAATAGATAAAACATTTTCAAGATACTTACAATTGAAGATTTTGACATAAACTACTTCTAAACCAGTATTGCTTGTACTTATTGAATATTGATGCGCCTTAATTGATTTATGTGTCATTATAGCCACACCACCATATGAGTCGCATCTATCTTTCCTAAAAATGTTATATTCACTTATTCCTAGAGGCGAGCTCTCAGCCAACCACGTTTCACTCACGATTGCTATATGTATTTTTTTCTTGTATCAACAGGGATTCAAAATTAACTATTTTGGGCTTAATACTTTGTGCATTCCACTGGAGTATAGACAGCGTAAAATCCTTTGATGTGTTATCCATTAACTATATTTAAAAGTTTACTTAATATTTCTTTTTCCATTATAAGATTCATAAAGATTATTTTCAACTCTCCAGTTACTAACTTAACAATATCGATAATCTTTTCTTCTACTTTGCTTTCAGAGAACAGAATTTCTATTACCCTTTTAATAATTACCCATATCTTAGATATCTTTTGTTTCTCCTCTTGTTTTTCTGTACATGCGTCAGTTTCCATTCTTGTCACTTCTTCATTATTTAATGTAGCTGACTCGGTTGCAACAATGGACTTTTTTTGCTTTGAATGTTTAACGTTATAATTAGGAACTTTTTTAATATGTTTATTTTTAATGTTTTTGTAAGTTGCTTGTTCTTAACATCTCCACTTTCGCTATCTGATAAGTTTTGATTTATGTAGTTATTTGTTAGAAGTATATCTCTATATGATTTCGTATAATCAGCACTTGGTAGTTTATCAGCCTTTTGAACTTTATTCATAGATGTTGGGCTATCCATAGTTTGTTTTGTCTGTTTTAAGTAAATATCCAGTGCTTTTCTGTAGCTAAAATGTTGTTGACTCATGATGTTACGAATACTCTTTTCCTTAATAAAAATGGGGCATGCTTTATCAAGTGCCATATGTGGGCCTTTACAATTTACACATTTGTATTCAATAGTTTCGCAATTTGTATGTTTGTCTCCACACTTAGGACATAAAATCTTTTTATTCGGGCAAAATTTTATGTAATGTCCAAAACTCCAGCATCCAGAACATTGCGTGACTGGAAAGTGATAGATTTCGACCTTGAATCTACATCCATATCCATACACATATGAAGGCGGTGTTGTTGTTGTTGTTGAAGTGAACACTTTTGAATGTCAAACGAAATGTTTCGCTGTCTGTCTACTTACCATTTATATCTAAGCGCTTGAGTCTTTTCACAGACGAAATTTCACATGATGAGGACAAATTTTCTAAAATTTCTTGTTCTTCAATTCCTATATCAATTCCTTTTACAACTCCAAAAGATAAGTGTGTCTCATTCACAATACGACAATGATAACCCAAATCTAAAATCTTTTTACAGTTTATTAGCTGATAAGCATCTTCTAACTTCTGGAATTGAACCAAAACCTTATACGGGCTTTTATACCGAATTTTCATAACGTTAATAATATTTTCTGACTTAAGTAGTTTGGCCAAACCTATTTGTTTAGGAAGGCATTGTAAAGATGTAACACAAACTACATAATATTCTTCTAAGCGTTGCATTTCTAACGGCGTTGACAATGCGTCAATGAGTTGATTATTGTCTGCACTTTTTGTTAAATCACTCCTAATACGACATTTCGGTTTTCTCCTTGTAACTGTTGTAAAACTCTCTTCACTGTTCTCCGATTTTTTTCTTTTTTCCGCTGACCTAATTTTATGTTGGGTTACCAACTTATTTTTCTCTAGAAATTTGGAATTTTCACATTCATGTTCACAATCGCTTACACGTTTACAATCACTTTGGTCACTATTCCCAATGTTACCATTGTCTTCCTCATTACCCTCTTCCATGGTACAGAAGTTAGTTTAAAAGAAGAATAAAAAAACAGCGATTCACACGAATAAAACGCTGAAAAATTAAATTTTTTGGAAAAAAAATTATCAAACACTTGTGACAGCTAATCACCATGACAACCGTTCCGGTTATGACGTTGTCACGTTAAACTACCGTGCGTAAACCGACATTACAGACAACCAATTTTTTTATATCACTAATTTAATTAATATAAAATATAACTAACATTACAGAAAGAAACATTAACAATTACATTTTTCTAAACAAATTAACGTCATGTAATTTGTCAAATATTTCAACTCGTTCCTTAGTGGCGCCACCTTGGTGGCAAAAAAGTCGAGAATGCTCTTATTACTTTAAATACTAATCTACGTGGTTATATACAGCTTACGACTTAAATAATGAAATGAAAAATCTCAAATAAATATAACAAATATAAGCTTTCATAACCCTGTAACCGAACTCATCTGAAAGTTAGTCACAATCGAGGTGACGGTATTTTTCTGACAGTTCCCTAAACTTAAAAGTTGGGATTAGTGAATCCCGAAAGAGCAAAGAAAGTTTTCTAATAAAAACTCTCATAATGGCATCTGTGATGTCCCAATACCAAAAAATATATTAAGGTAGAAGAATGTAGTGAGGACGAAGTTTAAAACTAGTCAAGCTTTGTAGTCTTTGATCCAAATTAAATAATATGGTCGTTTTTATACGTGATAGAGTCATGCTGCAGCTATATCATGGCTGTTGTCTAAATGGGTTGGCTCGACTGGGAAATACCAGCGTAAATAGCAGCATTAAACAGGAATTGTTTTGCATGATGAGTAGATAACCGAAGACCCTTTTTACTTTAAACTATGCATTCCATCTTAGTCCTCATGGTGACAACGCATTTGCATTATGATTCGTTGTCTATAAGCATCATAACGAAGTTGAAAAATTCAGTCTATTCTTTGGATTAACGACTGCAATGGAATATATAATAATATAAACAAAGGTTTGATTAAAGGAGGCCAAAATTCACATTGAATGACTGAGCGAGCATAGTATAAAAATATGAATAATGATAATAATGTGCTTTAGATCTAATTTCGGTCAAGACGGCCAGTCTCAACGGAGACTAGCCATCTGCGCAGGATAAGACGACGGCGACACTGAAAGTTTTTAGAACTGGCCACTTGTAAACGATGTAATAAAAAATTAAGTTCAAATTTTAAAAATGGAACTCTTTGCCAATATTATTTTATATGTATTTTATTAATTTGTCATTTGTTTACGATTTGGCGGAAAATTTAAAATTGTCTGTGTCAGCATGATAAATTCATTCACACGCAAAAAAATTTTCGTACAATGATTTTTTACTTTCGCAGTTTTATAATAGACTTCGATTGGCGTTTCACGATAAAGCCCCATCTCATGCCACCGTTTACAACCAGTTTAATAAGTGTGCAAACGTGGCGTAAGGGACGGCCTACTACGACGACGACTGAAGATAACATCAGTTTTGTGCAGCGTATGATAGAGACTGACAAAAGAGTGACTTGTCAGCAGATTCGGAATAAGAGACAGCCTGCTGTCTGGGTATTTCCTTCCGAGGAGTTGCTTACTCAAGTGAAGATATGTCGAAACGTGAGAAAAAGATGGTAGCCTCGTTCTTCAGAAGGACAGATCATTACGCAACAATTGTTTTAGAGGATCATAAAACAGTTAGTTCAGAGTGGTATACTAACAATTGTTTGCCACTTGTCTTGGAAAAAGTTCGCGAGAAACGACCTCGAAGTAGGATCCTCCTTCACCACGACAACGCCTTGTCGCGCTTATTTAACGCTATAAACCAAGCAAACAATCGACTACTTCGCAACGTCACCCGCCCTACCTTGCGATTTTTATTTATTTCCGAAAATAAAAGAAAAACTTCGAGGAAATCGTTTTATGAACGCCGACCCCTGAGGACGAGTGGGGAAAGTGCTTTTCTCAGTGGTTCCATCGGATGCAACGATATATTGATGGAAATGGACCTTGGACATTTTCAAAAGATAAAATAAAACTAATAACTCGCTAGTTTGTTCAGTTTTTGATTTTTTAAGAACTCTCAGTGTCACCCTCGTAGTGCCGAAGTGTATGCGCAAGCAAAAATGCACTCGCTAATTCTTCACTCTCAGACTGCAATAGGTCATCCTTCACGACCAGATAGTAATCAAGAGCAGGCTTTACGTTCTTTCCGAAGCACAGGTTGAAACAAAATTGAGAATTTCGTAACAAAAAACCCAAGAACTAATTTTGCCTCGACCCGACCCATAGAAAAATGAGGCAGTCAATATAAATAATGACGTATAGTAAGCCGTATAATTCGAAAAAATATGTCAAGTTATTGCAGATTTGTGTGATAGAAATTCCCACGAAGTAATTAATTGTTTAACGAATCACTATTTAAACTAACAATAAAACAATCATCAGTAAAAACTATTAATAATAAATGTAAACTAGAACGCGCGCCGATCGAGTTACTTAAAATCTTTTGCGGTTGCAAAGACACATGTAATGCGGCGCGATCTCATAGTACGAGGATCGGTATCGCATCCCAATACAATGATTTTATTCAAGCAATTCATCCAGAAAACTTGCCGGACTCATTTTAAAAGACTAGAAAGCTATTTTTTCAATATACAGTTGAGACCTTCGAAAGTTACTGTTATTATTATTTTTAATATAATTATATTTCACAGGAAACGTAAAACAAATGAGATATAAAATACGCGTGACAAACGAACACACATTCCACCTGATGGTATCCTCGATTAAGAATCAAAATCCAGATGCGTTGTCAACTCTGAGAACAAAGTTGGAATGTCTCGTTTCCAGTAAATTTAAATATTTTTACATCACCACTAAACAGAATTATTCCAAGTATATTTAAAACGAAACGTATAACATATAAAAATATTCATTTTAGAAATGTTACATAAAATGTTAAATCAAATATAAATCGCTAACCTAAATATTAAGTCTTTATAACATTTTAATTCGGTCTCGCCAGTCGCATCACTAATGCGGCGACAGGCTTCATTGTTTGCTCGGTGCGCGTCGGTTTGTATAATTTTGTACTGCTTCAGGCACATCCAGACCTTATGACTTCATAAAGTAAGGCAAACCGATAACATTTTATTAAACCGACGTCGACGATCCTTTACGGGAGACGTGGCTTGGTTTTACTGAGGTTTAATAAAATAAAGGACGAAATATTTTATTAAATTAATATATTAATTTAACTTCTCTAAGACATTCGCCTATGCGTACTCGTAGGGTGTGAGTAGGGATTGAAAATTTCGCAAATTTAATGTTACAAATCCGGTATTTAGCGCTTGCGGTACTAGAACCAGAACTGATTTCGATAACTAAATGCGCAAAGATAGCTTTTTTATAGAATAACGGTGACAAACCAGCACACATTCCACCTGATGGTAAGTGGATGCTGTGGCCTTAGACATGAATGTAGATGCTCTAAGCCGCCGAAGAAGATTAGTCAAATTTTACCATCCGTCAAGTGTAGTGGCGGTTGAGAATATCCACTACCCCATATCTTCCCGTGGGTGTCGTAAAAGGCGACAGAGGGAGACAGGCAGGAGATGGGCAGCAGCATCTTCCTGATAAAAACTGTGACGTAATAAAAAAACTGCGGTTGCCAACCCGCTCGCCAAGCGTGGCAACTATGGCAAATACCCCCCAATGAATAAATACACAAACAGACGGCCCCCAGTCCCCGGCGGCCCCGCTATTCCTGGCTACGGTGGCGACCATGGTAACGGCGGGGCAGGGGGTGCTAAGAATCTCCGGTGGAGGTTCGGTTGCCACCTACGACGACTCGACCTGGCAACATATAACGCACGCACCCTGAGGACTGACGAGAAGATACTAGAGCTGGAAGAAGAGGTAGACAAGTTGCGCTGGCATATTATTGGATTATCCGAGGTCCGAAGAGAGGGGGAGGACACGGCAATCCTTGAGTCCGGCAACTTGTTCTATCACCGGGAGGGCGACCATCTGTCCCAAGGAGGTGTTGGATTTATCGTCCACAAGTCTCTCGTCAACAACGTTGTAAAGATTGGGAGTGTGTCGACGAGGGTCGCGTACCTGATACTCAGAATCACCAAACGGTATTCGCTGAAGGTCATACAGGTTTACGCACCAACCTCGGCACATCCCGAGGAGGAGGTGGAGGAAATGTATGAGGATATTTCCAGAGCCATACATTCCTCCAAAACCCACTACACGGTGTTGATGGGAGACTTCAACGCAAAACTAGGCACAAGAGAAAGCGGTGAGCTGAAGGTAGGGAAATTTGGAGTAGGGCAACGGAACCGAAGGGGCCAGCAGCTGGCCGACTTTATGGAGAAAGAGGGACTCTTTATGATGAACTCTTTCTTCCAGAAGCGGCCCCACAGGAAGTGGACCTGGTCGAGCCCCGACGGTTCGACAAAAAATGAGATTGACTTCATTATGACGACCAGACGCCAACTGTTCAGTGATGTCTCAGTGATCGCAAGGGTGAAAACTGGCAGCGATCACCGAATGGTTAGAGGCACACTGAACCTAAACGTTAGGTTGGAGAGGTCTCGTCTAATGAAGTCAACGCTCCGTCCCCCTCGTGCTCTAATCCAGAATCCCGAAACCTTTCAGCTCGAGTTACGTAACCGCTTCCAGTGCCTAGAAGATTGCAATGCAGTGGACGATATGAACGACAAGCTCGTGGAAACTGTCCATGCGGTCGGAGCTAAGTTCTGCAAGACCCGCCGCAGAAGAACACAAAAACTCTCCGATCACACTCTTAATCTCATGGCTGTTAGACGGGGAGATGAGGCTGCAATCGTCAACAGATTTGACAGCATACAGGCAACTGAACAGACAGATCTCCAAATGCATGCGGCGAGACTTACGCAACTTTAATACTTCTCGTATTAAAGAAGCGATCGAGCGGAACCAGGGCTCCAAAGTCTTTGCC